ACATTTCTTAAGAACTATATATATATATATATATATATATATATATATATATATATATATATATAATGTGTCTGTGTGTAGAGGGTTAAAGTTTGTGAAAAGCGAAGAAAAGAAATAATCTTCAAAGACAGCTTTACAAATTCAAACAAATGTATTATAGAGGGCAAAATATTTTTTTTTCTTTTAAGCTGAAAGAAATAATGTATAAAGTTCCACATTAAGTTGGTTTTTAGAATTTCTTTAAAGAAAATAAACGCAGCCAAGGTTCATAAGGAAGTGTTTTCTTTTACAACACAAAAGAAAAAAATTATTTATGATAGGATAGAGAGTAGCGTATGTTTGAAATCGTCTCACGAAAGAAAAAAATCTACGCTCTCTTATGTGTGCATAGCGTAAATAAGCAGCAAGAGAAGCCTGTTATGTTATCAGTTAAATATCAGCGCAAATACAGCTAATGCTAAATATGTTTTGTTTCTTTTTTCGTCGCTGTGTGTTTTTGTAATGTAAACCATCGAAACTAATTTTCTGAAATTATTTTTAAAGCAAGAAATAATTATACAAAAGGAACTTTAGAACCCAAAACTTTTATAGAGGAGAAATCAGTATTATTCACATCCCGGTCGAAGTATACTGAAGACTAGTTTATTGATTTAAGCTATTTATAGGAAAAATTCGGATCATAGGAAGTTAAGAGACAGATTTATTAAATTTAGAAGTTTTATTGGCTAATAAATATATTTTTCAATTTTTAATATTGATTTTGAGGATGAAAAGTGTGTTAATCATTTTCTTGAATTTTTTGAGCGCACGGCACAGAAATGCTCGTCTGCGTTTTCAAAGTTCTCGAGCTGCATCCCAAGTAACGTTGCTGATTGGTCAATAAATGCTAATATAGAAATTTTAATTTTGCATTCGCGTCATCCTATTTTTTGCACAGAATTGAGGTGATGTCTGTGTGATTCTACTTTTGCACAAAATTGATATTTTAGTTATTTTAGTTAAATCAATTGTTTCCGACTTTTTTGTTTTTAATTGGGATACGCACACGCACACACACACGCACATACACACATATATACAGGGTGCGGTTGGTATTTGAGGACATATTTTATGGATTAGTAAGAAACTTGCTCAAAAAATAAATATAATTGTATTTGATTACAAACAATTAAAAATGAAATTTAGCTATTATTTAATTTTATTCAATAAAACCGCCACTAGCTTCAATAACTGACTCTACACGAGGTCGAAATCGGCTGCAAGCTCTGATTAATTGGTCCTTATTGATCTCAGACATTACTCGAGCTATTTCATTTATAGTCTAGTTGAATGATATCTGGAGAGTTATGAGGCCAAATATTTAGTGTGATGTGGACGTACAAATGGTTAACCATCTATTCTTGTGTTCGTAGAGCCTTGTGTGATGGAGGCGAGATTTGCTGGAATATGGAAGCCCTGCCGTTGCATATGTTGTCAATCCAGGGCTTGACAACTATTTGTAGAACCTCAATGTAAGCAGTAGCATTTACTCTAAGACCTTGTGGGAAAAAGTGTGGTGGCATAACATGTCCTTCATTGCTAACAACACCCAATACCATAACACTTGAAGGAAATTTTGTTCGCATCACTCTTGCCACCTTAGAAGGATCTGAACAAAGACATCTGTCATTTCTTCTGTTACGTTTTTGATCTTGATCAAAATTTTTCTCACCTGAGAAAAACCAAATCACACCAGCTTCTGAAGGATTTTTAAGTTTGTTTAAAAGCCTTTTGGATCTGTTTAAACGGTTTTCTTTTGTTTGTTTGTTTTTTTTTTTTTTTTTTTCAGACATAAATTGACCTCTCTTCATCACGTAGGAATGTCTTCATGAACACTCCTTCTGATTGTTTCTTCAGACACATGCAGCTTTTTGGCAATTGACCTCATTGATGGACCTCGGTTTTTCATCAATTGTCTGCTTCAATTCCTGAATAAATTTGGATGTTCTCACTTTATCAGAACGTGCAGAATGTTAAGCGTCTTCTAACTCTTTTCGTATCTTGTGGAGAAATGATCTAACAACTCTGAGGAAACGTGCAATATCCAAATCGCGATGATAAGCATTTAATGTCACAATCAAAACACGCCTATTTATTTCATTTTTTATCATAGGGTTTGCCATTCTTGATTTCTGAAAAATAAAAGCCTTAGAAGTTAGTGGGAAGCACTATTAATCTTAAATCTGTATGTCCTCAAATATTAGCCGCATCCTAAATATATATATATATATATATATATATATATATATATATATGTGTGTGTGTGTGTGTGTGTGTGTGTGTGTAATGAAATGGATTAAGTCCAACAATTATTATTATATTTTCTTTTTATACGTTATTTAAAAAAAATATAATTCATTTAAGTAAATGCAATGTTTCTTAAGCAGTATTAATTACATTTACCGGCCCGAATGTTCGAGAAGTTTCGTAGAAAATATGCGTTCTTTAACAGAAACCGAACCTGTGTCCTATACGGAACCGTCATTTGAACTGACGTGCTATACCACTTAGCTACATAGAAGCATCTGGTTTGCAAATTCCAAATTAATGTTTTTAAACACACAATCTTCAACGATTTTTCTCGATCGATCATATCTACTTACGAAACGTATCTTCGATATAAACAATGGCAACATATAATGAAATGAATTAAGTCCGACTTATTCATATATTATGCTTGCAAGTTATTTGTATAGATACATTTTTTTTAAGTAAATGCTCTGTTTTTCTTTAATTAAACAATATCAATTACATTTACCGACACACACACACACACACACATATATATATATATATGTGTGTGTGTGTGTGTGTGTGTGTGTGTATGTGTGTGTGTGGTTGTGTGCGTGTGTGTGTGTGTGTGTATAGTTTTACGGTAAGCTATATTTATGGGTTAAACTGTTCAATATCAATGAGAGAGTGTATGCAAATATAAAAGTCAACATTGAAGTCAATACCTAGCTCGTCAGAGGTGTATTTTAGGTAGTATATTTTATTGTTCTAACGGTTGTTTTGGAGGGCGGTAATGGTTATGTTTCATATTATTCTAGGGTCTATTGCATGGAAATAATTGTGGATCCAGATGCCGTTTTTTTTGTCTATTGTGTTGTTTGTTAACTTTTTTTTATTTATTATTGATTATTTTATTGCTGATTGTTGCAATTATATTTACTTGTGATTATGAGCGGTTTGTTAATTTGTTTATTATTTACTTATTTATTGGTGTGGATTAATCTCTTTTACTTATTTTTGTCGATTTTATTTTATTTATTTACGCTTGTCCATTTTTTTTTTTGTTTTGAATTTTCGATTTTCAACTAACGTAGTAAAAATTTGTTTTCGTGTTTGCATTTTGATGTGAGTTCTATAAATACCTTCCCAGTTCGCTACAAACTACTAAACAAACGATTAGAACTCATCTCATCATCTCGTCATTGTCTGTATTACAGACCCTTTCTCTTGCAGTTATATAGTAGGAGCACCAAACTAAATATGGCAGCAGTATTCAATACGTGGAGAAATAATTCCGCCTAAACAAATATTATTCTGGTTATTTTGGGAACAGATAGAGTTAAGAGAAAATTCATCTATAATCTGAGAGAATAATTCCAAAATGTCTACAGGATGAAATAAATTTGCCTTTTAGATGTGTATTCAATTTAATTAAATTTTGTAAATAATGTTATCGAATGTTTTAGATCTAAATATTTACAATGTCAGAAAAAGTTTCGTGTCGAACGACAAAAATCCAGCTGTTTGGTTTCAAAGTAGATTCTCTTTTAACGCTGAGCAGTTCCGAATTTTAATCTCTCTACTTGAAAAACAAGAAGAAAAGGAAAACAGAAATAAAATTAAATTGTGTGATTTGAAAGTGTTTCCCGCTGAAGTCGTTCAATGATCATACAACAACTTATATATAATTCACAATGTTATATTGTAGTGAATAACAAAACACTGGATAAATCACTGGGTAGACGCCCTTTAGAATTGAATCAGGTCAAATTGCGGCAGACGAAGTCAATCAAGAAATGACCAACATTAACTTGTGACTTCACTTGGCCATCTTCAATCTAGCAAAATCACTAATTTCGGTAACTGGGTGTGGCATCTGTCGACAGACAATAACTAAAATCTTCATTTAAGAAGCACGCATATCATTTTTAATTCTATCTAATTGAACGAATGAGTGGCTGAAGATCATCACTACATTGAATTGACCTGCCATGGGTGACGCGGACATGGTCACATAAATGCCAGATTTGAAAGTGATAAACGTTATACTTCGTTTTTACTGGAAAGTGTGCGACTTTATTTACTGTGAACTACTCGATCAGAATAAAACTGTTGCTGAGAGAGTCGTCTTCGTCGTCTGTGGCGGCACCCGTTCGCATCCGAACATCGGGATCGTCATGTTCTCTTCCTATCCCCACCACCGGTGACGGAGATGGCTGAGTAGGCCTTTGTATGCAGTACACTGCATACACACATCGAAAATGTAAAACATCATCCGCCTATTACACAATATTCCTAGATATGTTGCATAAGCTACTTGAGAAAATCAGATGCAGTTGGCTTATGAAATTCAACCCTAAACCCTTACTCCTCGAATCGGTGCCCTGACATTTCCTTTTCTGATCATTGAAAGAGTTTTTAATAAACTGTGCATCCGTATTGTGGTAAGACTTCGAAACGGCCATTAAAAATACAGTCGACTGGAAAATGACATCATTCGATCTGAAGAGAAAAGTCAGATTTCATTGCACATTGCTAGAAATATTTTGGTAAAAATGGGATTACACGAAGGATTGTTCTCTGTGTTTAATCTGATAAATAACATTTTCTTCAGTAATTTCAGATTATCTTTGCCGAAAAAATACTGTCATAGAAATAATAGATTTTGTAGGAAAAGATTAGTTGACAAAAATTAAATAAGTGTAGAAACCTGTAGGTTTTATTATTAGGACGTAAAAAGTATTTACCTGGTGACTCATCTATCTATCTATCTATCTATCTATCTATCTCAGTCTGTTCATATGTATATATCTATCTCAGTCTGGTCATATCTATCTATCTATCTATCTATCTATCTATCTATCTCAGTCTGTTCATATGTATATATCTATCTCAGTCTGGTCATATCTATCTATCTATCTATCTATCTATCTATCTATCTCAGTCTGTTCATATGTATATATCTATCTCAGTCTGGTCATATCTATCTATCTATCTATCTATCTCAGTCTGTTCATATGTATATATCTATCTCAGTCTGGTCATATCTATCTATCTATCTATCTATCTATCTATCTATCTATCTATCTATCTATCTATCTCAGTCTGTTCATATGTATATATCTATCTCAGTCTGGTCATATCTATCTATCTATCTATCTATCTATCTATCTATCTATCTATCTGAGTCTGTTCATATGTATATATCTATCTCAGTCTGGTCATATCTATCTATCTATCTATCTATCTATCTATCTATCTATCTATCTATCTCAGTCTGTTCACATCTGTCTACCTATCTCGGTCTGTTAATAAATATCTATCTATCTATCTATCTATCTATCTATATATATATATATATATATATATATATATATATATACATATATATATAACTATCTGTCTATTTATCTATTACTGTCTACCCAATTCTATATATTTATGCCTTTATAATATAAAAGCGGAAAAATAGCAATGTCACGTTTTATCTACAAAGTCAGAACACGGTAGAATCCTTTCTCTAAGAATAGAATCAAGGCACAAAATTTGGTTGGGGTTTGTGCGGCCTTTGAGTAAGCCAATGTAATTCTTTTATAAAAGCTCGAACATTTTCATAAGGAATTTTGATTGGAATAAAAGCATTAAATGCAAAATAAAAGAAGGAAACTGAAGGGCGCCATCTTAGTTATGTTTTTTTTTCCTTTTTTTCCTTTTCAATTTTTACAATTCAATATTCATTTTTATTTTCTTTGTTTCCTACTTTTTTCATTTGATTGACAGTGCAGACCCAGCGAGGCAGAGGAGCCCTCTTCAATTTTACATTCCAAAGAGGTACTTCAAAAACACATTGTCTATTCAATGTTTTATTGAGAGAATCGGACATAAAACGGTGAACACTGCTGTGTGCGCGTCGATGTAAATAATGTTTTAGTTCTAATCATAATTACTTATGCTTTTTTTTTTGCATTTGCTTTCTTTGTGAAGAAAATCCTTTGATTGATGACTCGATATATGATATCAGCCTGTAATAAATGCTAGTCCATTTTTAGCCGTAAAAAATCGCATGGTTTATGCTTTTAATGTAAATTGGCTATAAAAAATATCGCGTTCGCTTTTTAATCTAAATATTTACACCATTTAGCGGAATTGTCTATTGATTCAATGATCGGCAAAGTTCTCGTGATTCACTTAAGGAAACGATGTTGTCATTGCGATAGATTTATTATTCTGGCGGTGGAGTTGCGGGTTTATCTTGGCGGGTAAGACTAGGGTTTTGTTTTCATGAGGTCGATACAGTGTGACTTGTCTCCACATGCTTCCAGAGTAGAAAAAAATGATGATGATGATGAGATAATCAAATCTTGGCAGAAAAACTTAGCACCTAAGATCAATCATAAGATATTTAAACATAAAATCAACAGTTACCACGGACTGCTGACTATGATGACACTATTTCTGTCTATCTATCTATCTATCTATCTATATATATATATATATATATATATGTATTTTTTTATATATAACTGTATATATATATATATATATATATATATATATATATATATATATATATATATATTAATGCGTTAATAAGTTTGCAGATTTCATGATTATATTGATTATATTTTCAAGATAACATGTTTATTTGTCAATGCAATTGAGTCAGACGTGAATATTAATGATGATGGTGTGAATCATTGATGTCAAAATTCGGCTAATAAATACGTATCAGGCTACAAACTTTCTGATCATGCCTCGTAGATAGATAGATAGATAGATATCAGAAGAATGAGATAGATTGAAAGAAAGAAATGAACACACACGCGCACATATACACACACATATACAAATAAATAGATAATCAGATAGATAGAATGTGATAGAAAGAAAAGAATATATATAGGGATAGATAGAAATCAGTAGAATGAGATAGATAGAAAGAAATGAATCTATCTATCTATCTATCTATCTATCTATCTATCTATCTATCTATATATATATATATATATATATATATATATATATATATATATATATTTGTATTTATATAAGAGGGTGTGATGAAAATTTCTCAAACTGACTAAGAAAGGCTTTTAAAAACTATAATATTTGATTAGTTGCTCCAATTCTGTGAAGTAGGCTAGGTCAATAACTATTTCAGTCATTCTTTGTACATATTAATATTAAGTAAAGCACATTTTGGCACGAATTTTTCGTTTAAGTCGATTTTATTGAAGACCACAGACGAGTTTTGTTTGCATAATCTTTTTAGTAATTGTGTCTTGTTTACGTATAGAAGAACTGATGTTTGTTTCAATTTGTGTGAAGTTTGTCCGTCCGTACGAGGAGAGCCCCGAAAAGTTCACGACCTGGCCCACTTCCCAAGACCTGACCAAATGATAAAGTATCAGGCTTGCTTCTTTTTCCGAATTGCTTCTTGGTTGGTCTGAGAACTTTTCTCAACCTTCCTTAATATAGTTTCAGCCATCATTGGCCATTTTCAAGAACACTGCTCAACCGTTGTTGTCAAATCTGTTTTGTTGATGAACAAATAAAACCAAGCTTTAAAAAATCATTCAAATAACAATTATTATGAAGAGGTAATATAATGAATGTATTTTAATGTAACTAAATACATCAGGGTTATGGTCAAAAGTAAATAGAAATGAAGAATTTCATAGTAAACATTTTTTAATGTTAACAAGATGACGTAGATGTAGTCATAAATGATCTTCATCAAAAAAACAACATCCTTCAACAAGCGTTCTAAAAATAGAACTTTACATAATCTTTTCCAAAACAGAAACTATGATCTGGAAATGGAATTAAAGTAGTAATGACACATACATAGGAGGGAAATTGGTCATAGAACAGGCTGAGGTAGGAGTAGTTTTGCACAATACCGCCAATTGCTACAGAACCAAAATATTAACTTAAGAACTTCATATCCTTAAATAGCTTCTTAAGATCAAGACTTTCACATGAATGCCGTGCGTGGCACCAAAACCGTTCATATCTAAACCGTCAGCTGTATATAAATGCTTACCAAGATCAACGGTTAAAAAGACTTTGAGCGAGTTAAGCCTGATGGTTCTGGCAAAGGTCATCCCTATTTGAACATTGTAGACTGACGCTACAGTATCACAAACAATGCACTGTGCCAAATAACAGAAACCACGTCACTTGATGATTACCAACAGCGGCAACAACTAAAATGGATATAACATTTAACTTGAAGAGGAAATAATGGCATAATCAACATAATCACTTCTTCAAACAAAAAGTTAGGAAGAAAGACCTCCCCCATCAACATCGGAAAGAGCGATAACAGTTAATGGACTTGAGAAACATATAGTCTTGAAAAATTGTTTAAAGAGAAATATTTTATAAACTTTAACCGAAAGCAGTACTGGCTGCTCGGGCAATGAATTACGAATGTTTCCTTATAAGGAAACGGTAAAAGTATCATTGTCATTACCATTAACCTCAGACTAACAATATTCTCTTCTGCCTCTACTTCATATTTTCATCTACATATTCTCATCACATCAAGACTTTCATACGGATGTCATGCATAGCATCAAATCCGTTCAGAAATATATAAACTCTCAGCTGTATGCAACTACTGTCTCAGATCAATGGTTAAAAATTGTTACCGCCCAGACGAGATTAAGTTTGGTTTGATTTGATTTGTTTTACGGCATATCGAACCCAATGCAGTATTTAATGCCAACAAGATATTTATTGTTGGTAATATTTTTTCAAAAAAGCATTTCTGGTAATATTTTTTTTTCCAAAAATGTATTTCTGGTAATATTTTTCTAAGAAAATATTGCTGGTAATAATGTATTACTGGTAATAATTTTTTCTTCAAAAATTTATTGCTGGTAATAATCTTTTACAAAAATGTATTGCTGGTATTAAAACCTATCTTTACACGTTTTGACCCCAGTTTGGGTGTTAACCATTTACCCATAGCTGGAACCCTAACAGGTTCTATCACCCTCGTTCAGGATGGACCCTGGTAACACCAGCAATTAAGAGGTGTTTTCTATGCTCCTAACAACCTCCTGATCAGATGCCTTGCTGCTGGATGTAGTTTATCGTCTTACCCAGGACGCGGGATTAAATGAATGAATGGCATAACATCGACCTGATGGAGAACAGACAACCATTACTAAGTGCTACAAAGAACAGGAAGTTATGAAGAGCCATGATCGCCTACGTCATGAAGGGGTATGGTAAATGTTACAAAAGATGCGTGTAAACTATACAATATTTGTAATCAGACTAATGTCCTCTTCTTTGTTGTTATCATATTTCAGGCTTTGAGCATTCCGGATATAATCAAGTGCTTAACAATCAGGGAATTCCGAGTTCAGTCCTTTATTCAATCTACGCGAGAAGATTGTTCTCCTTCCACTGTCCAGATCTCGGAATATCTCGTGACGGTTAATCGTTCAGTTAATGCTCGCCACGTTTCCACTGGTAATATGAATACTATGTAGCCCAAGGATTGAACTTGTCAAAAATCCCAAAATCAAAGCCAATATCCCATGTAAACATTCTGAAGCTATTAAACATGGAGTTCATCTTGCCTTCTCTTCTATTACTGCATTCTAAGAAGGACGCCCTCTGTTACTTTTGTTATCCTGTTATTTCTGTTACTGTATCTTAACAGGAACAGCTTATGTTATTTCTGTTCCTCCTGTTATTACATTCTAGCAGGGATGTCCTCTGTTACTTCTGTTACTCTGCTATCCTGCTACTTCTGTTGCTGTATTCTAACAGGGACGCCCTCTTTTACTTCTGTTACTGCATTCTAGGAGGGACGCCCTATATTACCTCTGTTACTTCAGATATCCCATTACATCTGTTACTGCATTCCAAGAGGGACGCCCTATGTTTCTTCTGTTACTTCTTTTACTGCATTCTAACAGGGACGCCCTCTGTTACTTCTGTTACTGCATTCTAAGAGAGTCGCCCTCTGTTACATCTGTCAATGTATTCTAAGAGAGACGCCCTATATTACTTCTGTAACTTTTGTTACTTTTGTTACTTCTGTTACTGCATTCTAAGAGCGTCGCCCTCTGTTACATCTGTCAATGTATTCTAAGAGAGACGCCCTATATTACTTCTGTAACTTTTGTTACTTTTGTTACTTCTGTTACTGCATTCTAAGAGCGTCGCCCTCTGTTACTTCTGTTAATATATTCTAAGAGAGACGCCCTATATTACTTCTGTTACTTTTGTTACTTTTGTTACTTCTGTTACT